CTCACAGCACACGGGGCACTCCCATGCATGCTCCGTCCTCATCTTCAGCAGTCAGCGCAGAGTTCCAATACTGATGGTACCAGTCACAATCTGGTTAAATATCCGTCTCGCCTTTCCTCTGAGTTTAGTCAGCTGGCCAGACCCTCTGGTTGCACCCAGGTGTCTCACTCTCTCCAGGCTATAATAATATACTTTCTCTACTGATTCCTTTGCTTGTTCAGACAGACAGACAGACAACAGACACACGAGTGTATCTATATCTTTATCTATCCACAGATGTGGGCGAATTCATGTGGACAGACACAAACACTTAAGCCTACCCATGTACGCACGCACACATACACACACGCCACTTGTATCGTTATCGTCTGCGGGTATAAGCAATAATCAAATTGCTACTTAGAAAATCATCTCCACACACACATTTATTCACGCATCTAGCAATAATTAAATATATCATTGCAACACATTGCTTTTAGGTGAAGTTTTATTTTTGATAGCCCCCCCCCCTCCCCCCCCTCCCCCCCCTTTTTCCCCCATTTTTCAAGTAAATAACTTGCATTTTTAAGAAGCAAACGTATGCCTGTACTGTAGAATTGACTCTTTCTAATAGTTTTATGCAAACTACTTAACCACTAAACTGTCTAATGAGCAAACCCTAAATTTCAACATATAAAAAAATGAAACGTGGCTACCCTACATTCAGCAAATTGTTTCAGTTTTCCCCCTACCCCTTGAAGTATTTGTTTTACCCTTGCTTCATTATCCTCCTGTGCTGTTCGACATGCGGTGATGAGAGAGCCGATGTTCCAGGAAAAATTGGCCTACATTTCAGCCCAGAGCCTGCACTTGGTCCACAAGTCAAATATTTGTCCAGTTAACGGAGCTGACATCTCTGTGGTAGTAGCGGCGATACTTTGCTGGTCTCAAAGCAGATTCTCTGACACTTTAACTACCACACATCACAAACGTTTGCAGTGGCCGTCGTCAGGTAAGATTATCTTGATTTGTCTTTTAAATATTTTCAGTCTGTACTTCTGGCGCCAGATGCTTGGCATAAATTCCAACAAGAATCGCAATTTGCAGAAGTGGCCTTTATTAAGACGCAAAAGATACCAAACAGCTGTCAAATTCAGTGCATAAGTGCTAAATAAAATATGTGTTCTTATTTGAATGTGAGATATGGACAGTAAGCAGACAAGCTGAAAAACATTTACTGACAATCGGTGATATGACCTTCGACAAGATTTAAAAAAAAAAAAATCGAATGAAAGAATATCATGGAATGAAAGAATATCATGGAATGACAGAATACTATGGAATGACAGAAAAAACAAACGAAGCAGTCCTCCTCAAAAAAGATTCAATTATAAACTGACTAGAATAGTTAGCGGTAGACATTCTGTGTTTGTCATATATGCCATGTGAAGGGATGGACAGTGACGACTGGCAGGGTTGAATGAAAAAGAACTGGAAAGGGGGTGGAGGATAAATATCTATATACGCTGTAATTTCGCCCAGCCCCCTCCCCCAATGCACTCATCTTGACCGAACATGTGTTTTATGTATTCTGCCTATATAGATGCAGAACCCACGTATTAAATTATATTATAAACATATCGCTAACTGAAATTAGTTAAATTGGTGAAAACTTTTTTGGAAGCTGCGGAGATGTGGTTTCTTAGACGAATGATAATACTTTGGACAGATAAAAAGAGTAATGAAGACGTCTTGAGAGAAACTAACTAACTAAGAGAACCATTTGCCCACATCAGAAAGAGCAAATCTACAATCTTTGGTCATGTGATGAGGATAAAACTGGAGTACATCGTGACGGTAGGAAAGTTTGGAAGTGGGGGGGGGGGGGGGGGGGGTGTGTGTAATAGGATCATCTGTGTCAGAGTTAAACTGAAAGAACACCAGACAGAAGGTTGTGGATAGACATGACTTCTAACGCTACATGGCAGGGACATTAAGAAAAAGGAGACAGGAGACAGAAGGTTGTGGATAGACATGACTGCCAACTCTACACGGCATGGACTCTAGTTTAAAAAAAGAAGAAGAACTGAAATTAATTGCGTTAGAGGAAAGAGAAAAAAAAGGGGGGGGGGGGGGTGGGAGACGTGTTTACAACAAAACAAAAACAAAAAAACATTAAATAACTGAAATATCTCGACAATATTTTACAAACATATTTTTTTATTTTTATTTGTTGTAATCAAAATCCTACTGAAAAGAACATTGAAGTGCGAGCAAAAGATATTCAGCGGCACAAATGAGAAGAAAACATTATGGTATGAATGAACAACATTCTGTGAAAGTGCAATGAGGAAACAAGGCATGGCATGTTTAAGATCTGACGCACCATGCGTTTATTATGGACATGACACTTAATTGATAGGGTAACGCAGTGGCTGCACGCCTCTCTGCCGATCCAAGGGTCCGAGGTTCGAATCTACGAAGCAGATTTTGATAACTGGCTGTGGATCCCATGTTGACCCATCCTAAACTAGAGGACGGTGTATTCATCCCATCATCCGTTGTCTGCCGATACTTCTTACACATGAGTCCTGACACCATATACTCTGTGGGCCGGCGGAGAAAGAGTTGTTTACTGGCTACTACAACTACTACTGCTGCTGCTAATTGCTACTACTACTACTGCTAATTGCTACTACTACTACTACTACTACTACTACTACTGCTGCTAATTGCTACTACTTCTACTGCTAATTGCTACTACTACGACTACTGCTAATTGCTACTACTACTACTAACTGCTACTACTACTACTGCTAATTGCTACTACTACTACTACTACTAATTGCTACTACTACTACTGCTAATTGCTACTACTACTACTACTACTAATTGCTACTACTACTACTGCTAATTGCTACTACTACTACTACTGCTAATTGCTACTACTACTACTACTGCTAATTGCTACTACTACTACTGCTAATTGCTACTACTACTACTACTGCTAATTGCTACTACTACTACTGCTAATTGCTACTACTACTACTGCTAATTGCTACTACTACTACTACTATTACTACTGCTGCTAATTACTACTACTTCTACAACTACAACTACTACTGCTGCTGCTAATTGCTACTACTACTACTACTACTACTACTACTACTTCTACTTCTACTACTACTACTGCTACTACTACTACTACTTCTATTACTGCTGATGCTGCTTCTGCTTACTACTGATGCTACTGCTACTTACTACCACCAACGGTACTACTACTGCTCTACTGATGCTACTATTACTACTTTTGCTTCTAGTGCTACTACTACTGCAGCTGCTATTACCACTTACTATCATCACTACTACTACTGCTGCTACTAGTAATTACTACTACTACTACTACCTCCACCGCTACTGCTAGTACTACTGCTGTTGCTACTACTACTGCTGCTGTTGTGACTACTACTGCTGCTACTACTGCTGCTTCTACTTACTACTGATGCTACTACTACCATCAACGGTGCTACTACTGCTGCTGATGATGATGCTACTTTTACTACTGCTGCTTATGCTACTGCTACAACTACTGCTACTACTACTACTACTACTACTACTACTACTACTACTACTACTACTACTACTACTACTACTACTACTACTACTACTACTACTACTATTACTACTATTACTACTACTGCTACCGCACCTGCTACTACTAGTACTGCTGTTGTTGATGCTACTACTACTAACACCACCAGTACTACTGATGCTGCTGCTGCTGATACTACCACTACTGCTACTAGTAGTTACTACTACTACCACCACCACTACTGCTACTACTACTGCTGCTGCTACTACCACCACCACAACACTACTTGTTGTTGCTGCTACTACAACTCCTACAAGTACTACAATAACCACTTCTTATGCTACCTAATTATCTGAATACTGTTCTCACAGCTGTCTCAGTGTTGCTAGCAATGGTATCTTCAAATCTTGGCCTGTCGCTGCAACGTGGCCTGTGAAACACAGAACTGGAACAACCGTTACCGACTCTCATAATCCTTGTTTGGTTGGCGTGTTTAAACTGCGATGTCTGTTAGCTGACTTCCGGCCAATATCCACTTCTTAGTCAATAGGAACTCCTCTTCTCCCTGTATGTCTCTGTAAATCTCTCTCTCTCTCTCTCTCTCTCTCTCTCTCTCTCTCTCTCTCTCTCTCTCTCTCTCGTTCTCTCTCCCCAACTCTTTCTCTCCGATCTCTTGATTAATATCTTTTCTCTCCGTCTTCCACTCTACCTCTCCCTGTCACTATCTCTGTCACACGCACGCATATTTAAATGAATACTGTACAATAAGTACAAACATACTCTAATAATGTTTTCCTTCAATCTCCAGTAACCAAGCCATTGGTGGCGATGACTTGACTGAAAGCGTAGACCAGCAAAACCTTACCAGCCATCATCGTACATGTCTACTCATCTATGGGGTAGAGCTACGATCTACCCATCCACAGGATAGAGCCAGCTCTACGATCTACCCAGGATGACTGTGTCATCATTACATTACCGGCCTGTTATTAAATAACTAGAGTTGTGAAGGTTGCCTATAGTCTACTCCGGTGTTTCTTTTATGACAGTGCGCAGTATCGGCACTTTTTTTTTTTTTCAAAGGCATCCTTTTTCAGCTATTGTCTGTAGACACTTTGAGGTAACATCAACTTTATTAGACACATGGCGAGTACCGGTATTTTTTCCCCTAGTAAAATACCCTGATGTACTCACTACTTTTTAGAGAAATGTTGCGCGCTTTGGCCTCACTCTCTGCCACAGTGAGACTCTCGTGCCATTACCAAGCAGCCACATAAGTGGTCCATAAAAAAAAAATAACTGTTCGCCTCAGAAAGTGTACTTGAGTACGTAAGGATCATAAAAGTGTGAAACAAATTCACTAATATCTAAGCCACAGGCCGGCATAAGTTATAGTCTTGTGACACAACAATAAGACACAATAGACCACATGGAGGTCAACGATCAACTCTCACAGAATGTAGCAACTGCTGGTGATATCAGAATACATGAAAGGCGTGCTGTCTTTAAACTAACCAATGTCAGTACATTGCTACAGAAAGAGTTAATGAAATCGCACACGATTTACCAGGGAAACAGGACATCCATTGCCAACACACAACCTGACATCATCCGCCAGCCAATCACAACCCAGCCTTCGGTGAACACAGTCTGTGTCTCACATCCTTGGGTGTACAGTATGTCTGGCTCCGTGCCTGTGGACGCCATCAACTTGCAGGAGCCTGTGAGCAGTTCCCCAGGGTTCAAACCTCGACCCCTGTCAAAGTCCGGGGACACAGCGTCTGTCTGCCCGTCCACGGGCAGCCGATACTGGTCCAAGGATTTGTTTGATTCGTTCAAAGAGCTGCACAGGTCCACAAGAAAATGGTCGGCGCTGATTAATCGTAAGTGTTACTGTTTGTAGTGTTCTTTACACATGGGGAAACTGTTTGTAGTGTTCTTTACAAACAGGGCAACTGTTTATGGTATTCTTTACACAAAGGGCAACTGTTTGCGGTGTTCTTTACACATAAAGCAAATGTTTAAGGTGTTTTTTACCTACAGGGAAACTTTTTGGTGTTTTCTTTACACATGGGGCAACTGTTTGTAGTGTTCTTTACATATGGGGCAACTGTTTGTAGGGTTCTTTACATATGGGGCAACTGTTTGTAGTGTTCTTTACACATGGGGCAACTGTGTGTAGTGTTCTTTACACATAGGGCTACTGTTTGTAGTGTTCTTTACACATGGGGCAACTGTTTGTAGTGTTCTTTACACATGGGGCGACTGTTTGTAGTGTTCTTTACACATGGGGCAACTGTTTGTTGTGTTCTTTACACATGGGGCAACTGTTTGTAGTGTTCGTTACATATGGGGCAACTGTTTGTAGTGTTCTTTACACATAGGCAACTGTTTGTAGTGTTCTTTACACATGGGGCAACTGTTTGCAGTCTTTTTTACACATAGGGCAACTGTTTGTGGTATTCTTTACCTATAGGGCAACTGTTTGTGGTGTTCTTTACGCATAGGGCAACTGTTTGTAGTGTTCTTTACACATAGGGCAACTGTTTGTGGTGTTCTTTACACATGAGGCAACTGTTTGTGGTGTTCTTTACGCATAGGGCAACTTTTTGTAGTGTTCTTTACACATAGGGCAACTGTTTGTAGTGTTCTTTACACATAGGGCAACTGTTTTTGGTGTTCTTTACACATGAGGCAACTGTTTGTGGTGTTCTTTACACATGAGGCAACTGTTTGTGGTGTTCTTTACACATAGAGCAACTTTTTGTGGTGTTCCTTACAGATAGGGCTTGCTTTTGCAACGCAAAAGCTCAACATCTGCTGAAGAACCTATGGTATAGCACCTGCGACCAAGTTAAAGTAAAAACATGAGAGATTACACATTTTTTTCCGTGGCAACTCGTGGGTGTGAGTCATGGACTCTCACTCAGTCTCTGAAGTAGAAAATTGTAGCTTTGAACTAAAATATTACAAACATTTTTGATTTAGAATAGCGTTGATCAAGAAGACCTTCCGCCAGAGTTTACAGCTGGTGAACGCGAAGAAGAAGAAGAAGAAGAAGAAGAAGAAGAAGAAGAAGAAGAAGAAGAAGAAGAAGAAGAAGAAGAAGAAGAAGAAGAAGAAGAAGAAGAAGAAGAAAAAGAAGAAGAAGAAGAAGAAGAAGAAGAAGAAGAAGAAGAAGAAGAAGAAGAAGAAGAAGAAGAAGAAGAAGAAGAAGAAGAGGAAGAAGAATAAACGTCAATATCCTGTATGATCTGAAGATCAGGAAAAACTGGCTCATAAACAGCATTCTCTCCAGAAAGTCTATGTATTTTGGACATGTCAAGTGCCATATTGGTCTGAAGAGAATAGTGGCAAAGTTTCCGGAAAACGAGGCAGAGGCTGCCCACCACGAATGTGGATAAGGGACCTTTGACTATACACTGACTATGAAAGCTCACAGGGCTAGAGAAAGAGACAATGTCAGGTGAACTTTGAAGAAAGGGACATTCTGTTAAAAAAAAAAAAAACTGAGCTTAATAATGGTGTGAACCTTTAACAGGTAGCCCGCTTTGGCATTCTTCTTCTTCAGCATTCTGAGCACTTGAAGTTCATTGATGCAGATATCACCCGCCTCCAATCATCTAGTTTGTGATAACAAATGTTTGTAGGTCTGGACATTATCTCTTCCTCGTCTTCTTGATCGTGGCCTACGACCATGTAGCTCCCTTGTGTATACAGTTTTCACCTCTCTGTCATCAGATATTTTCTCCGTATGCCCCAGCCATTTCAGTCTATTAGCTTTCATGATGCCAGTGATCAATAGTGATTTAAAATGCTATCGCTTAACCATGTCCAACGCATTCAGGTTTACTAACATATCAGACGGTCAGAGTATCTTTAGAGGAGATTGCTAGTTGAATTAGTTAAATTACTTTACAAATGCTTCAGTTGATTTTTATGTGCATTTGAAAAGTCAACTTTTGACTCACACAGTTTGTGGCGAGTGTTGTCGTGTTCCCTGTATGATGGTGAATGTGGCCAGTAGTTTGGGGGACAAACGTTATCTCCTGTTCATACCTGGAACTGGAGCAGCGATCAGATTTAAAGTTCGCATCCTTCGTGGAATACAAGTAAGTTATTAATCGGTATTAGCTGTTTGTTGCATTCTACTGGTCTTTTTACCTCTTTGAAGGGCAGGATCTTCCCACCTTACAAGCAAATGCGGTTTAGATCTCCGTGGTTGTTAAGGAATTCAAAACAATGTTTTCCCATTGAGAATTCTTCTTCTTCTTCGCGTTCACCAGCTGTACACTCAGGTGGAAAGTTCTGTTTGCTCGTCCACTACTGAACTGCAGTCCTGCTCAAGATCCTGAGTGTTGCGTGTGCATCAGTTTTAACGATCTCATTCTCTTGAATACAGACTGTTGGTTCCCTGCCTCTCCGGCAGATGCACTCCGACTTTAAAGGAAGCTCCCCAGTTAGTCGACTCTTACGACGTGCTTTTGGGGAGGCTGTGGGTCTATTCTTGTTTTCCCCACAATGGGGCCCCGGAACCCACACTGGGGCCATTGAGAATTGAAACAACTACGATAAAACCAGTATGTAGCTATAACTGCGTCTCTCCAGAACTAGAAACATGTGCTCAAGATACATGTTTTCGTCACCGCAGACTTGAAAACATCGACACCATTTTGTTTGTGTTTGAGGGTGACCACAGGTCCCGTTTTAGCTGGTGACCACAGATCCCGTTGTAGCTGGTGACCAAAGCAGTGTACCGGCGGGACTCCAAATAAAACGTCAATTGTCCCGTTTTATAAAAATCTAGAAATAAACTCGACAATAAAACACAACAATAACAGTTATATCTGCAAACCTTATTAGATTTAATAGTTTTTAAATACTTTTAATGCCTGAAATTCATTTATGAGAATTTTCACAGCAGCATTTATACCAGTACAATTAAAGAACAAATCGTTTCGCTTACTTCTTGGCGACAATGAATCGAGTTTTAAAACCAATGTCCTGCAAGTAATTAACCCGTTCACCCCGGGGACCTAGAAGATAAAAAGGGGGTGGAGGAGGGAGAAAGAGGGTTCGGGCAAACTGACTTGGGATGTCCAGTTTACTGCTCAAAATAGTAAGATGTGTCGTTTTCATCTCAAGATTTTATAGTCAGCCTACTTTGTGAGCCATCCTCTGGATTCGAAAGTATATAGTGGCCTGTAATAAAGTGTTTAATTTCTGATAGGGTAAACTGTTTTATGAAAGTTGTATGTATAGAGAGAAAAAAAAAAACACAAACAGATTATATAATAACACTCAACTATAGTCTGAAACAAACAGAACGAATATGTATTTAAGTCTACTATGGTGTAAACTGTCTCTTCCCATCAGGGAACTATCATGGACGACTGTCTGGTGACCAGCTGCTGCTGTCCCTGTGCCACCTGCCAGATGTACAGAGAGATGGAAGACTTTGGCTTCAGCACTGAATGGTGACTTTCTTACCCGAGAACGTATACATACCATCGTGCCAGAAAAATCGTTTCATTACGAAACGGTGACTTTTATAGGAAACTGAGTTAAGCTCACATTTAAGTGACATCAATTGAACAGACAGTAATCGAATCAGGTGGAGATGGAAGCGGGAATACCAACTCTAGACTCATCATTAAAAAAGATACTATTTGAAGAATGGGATATTTTCGGCAGACCCCATCGTTTATCCAAGTAGTCTTGGGTATATTTACTTATTTGTTAAGTGTAACACGCACAGTGGCTGTGTCTTTTTTACTTTTTGTATAAATATACTATTGTTGTTGCTACCTTGGCTGTTTGTAAATTCCTATTGTTGTTATCTTGGCTGTTTGAAAATTCATGAGAGATACTTCTGGAGCCTTAATCAATGGTGTTTATCTAACCTGGGTTCTCTGGTACCTGGCAGTGTCAAGGCTGAGGCATACATGGCCAATGTGCTTGTTACTGAGGTTTACATGGTCTCTGTCTTCCTCTGATTTAATCTGCATCGTCATCATCATGGAGCTGTCAGCTAAATCCGATGAGATCTGCCACGTGGTTGAGACAGCCACTGTAATGGACTCCTATCAGTGGACAGTGCAGATAGTTCCAGAGCTTCAATGGTTGTCAATGTTAGTGTCTAATGATTGTCCATGTCAGTATCTAATGGTTGTCCCTGTCAGTGTTCAATGGTTGTCCACGTCAGTGTCTAATGGCTGTCCATGTCAGTGTCTAATGGTTGTCCACGTCAGTGTCAAATGGCTGTCAGTGTCTAATGGTTGTCCATGTCAGTGTCTGACGGTTGTCCGTGTCAGATGGTTGTCTATTTGTTGTCTATACCCTGTGGCTAGCACAATAACCTTCTAGTTGGTTTGAGTTCAAATCCTTGAGATCTTTTTTGCCGTGTGTGCAAGTGTGTTAGCATGAAGACAGACTGGCTCATGTTTTTAGTAAACTTGCCATTTCTAAATTGTTCACAGTAGTATCACTCAAGTTTAAGGTTCCTCATATTATTATAGAGTTACTGCCCACTGGTAATTATAATATGTAAATTACTCTGGCAATTCACGAAAGTTAACAAGCCTGTCAATATGGCACCATGTTCTAACCCGCCCAGGACTGCAGGCGACACCTGGCCAGTGTGGCTGTAATGGTCACCCTGATTACAACTTCATTTAGAGGTTGAACATGGTATCTTGGATCTACCCTGCTGGTCCGTGGTACAGACAGATTGCTGAGTTTTGATTTAAGGATGGTATGGTGGGCCTTTAGGTAGCAACCTGGAGTGGACAAACTGATCAATCAATTAACCAATCACCATAGTACCAAAGACAAACTGAATTGGGAAGACTACTCTACTGGGAAGACTACTCTACTGGGAAGACTACTCTACTGGGAAGACTACTCTACTGGGAAGACTACTCTACTGGGAAGACTACTCTACTGGGAAGACTACTCTACTGGGAAGACTACTTTACTGGGAAGACTACTCTACTGGGAAGACTACTCTACTGGGAAGACTACTCTACTGGGAAGACTACTCTACTGGGAAGACTACTCTACTGGGAAGACTACTCTACTGGGAAGACTACTCTACTGGGAAGACTACTCTACTGGGAAGACTACTCTACTGGGAAGACTACTCTACTGGGAAGACTACTCTACTGGGAAGAGGAAAGTTTCACTAACATGGGTAAGTAAACTCATGACCAAGTCTGCTGCTGATTCATGGCCAACTAGATCAAGTAACACAAGGGGTAGGGGTAGGTGACTAGGCAACACAGGTCAAAATATGCCATAACTGTTTGCTTTGCTGACTACCACCACAAACAATCAAACATGCTGACTCCTATTTCTTGCGATTGAAAAATAATTCCTTAGCATACACATAGCCCTGAATTGTTAAATGATAGCACTATTCTTAACAGAATGTTTAAAGTTAATAAAGAGAAAAATTAAAACTACACCACAATAATGAATCCTCCAAACTAACAAAGTGAGGAAATATATCATATTGTGCATCAGAATAGTGGAAATGGATTGGAGAAAACCAATCTGAATGTGTGATTGAAATATTCAGAAACTGACTGGGTGATGAGTCACTGCGACAGGAATATTTAGAATATTTCAAGGATTTTTAAATGGAGATTCCAACGGGTTATGCTGATGATACAGTCTTGACAGTGAAAAGTCAGAAAGAACTACAGGAAATGATAGACGTTGTGGTGGTAGAAAGTAGAAGAATGGGCCTCAGTTTCAATAATGGAAAGACAGAAGTAATGGTGGTATCAAAGAAAAGATTTATTCTTAAATGCAATAAAAGTCAATAGTGTTATTTTGGGACTACATAAATATAAGTATCTGGGCAAATGGATAACATCAGATGGAAGATGCATGACTGAGATAAGAAACAGAATAGGACAGATAAAAACTACATTTTTTTAAATAAAGACCATCTTATGCACTATATCTGAAGGTTTGAAAAAGAATTCTTGCTTGTTACATACATCCAGTTTAAATATAATGCTGGGAATCCTGGACAATCAGTAGGCAGGCCAAACAATTTCTTGAGGCCTCAGAGATGTGTTTTTACAGAACAATGCTTAGAATACCTCGGACAGCAAAAAGAGCAACCAAGAGGTTTTGAAAGAGGCGGCAGCCTAAAGACAACTTATCACAAACATCAGGAGGAGACAGTCGTCATTTTTCGGTCATGTTATGGGAAGAGGGAAAATGGAACATATTGTACTTTACTTTTACTTTTTCCTTCCACGTATGCCGCTAAGCGTTGTGGGGAGATGCAAGTTCCTGTCATAAGCAAGGCGGGCAGCATCTGATGTTCTGAGGCCGAACATATTGTGACCACTGGAAAGATCTGTGAAAGGAGGGATGGAGGAAGACAATGAAAGAAGATTCTTGACAGTCTTGTTGCATGGCATGGAGGTTTGTCAGCACACGAACTGATACATGCTGCAGGAGATCTCAGATTGTATAGAAGCATGAACGCCCAGGCCAGTTGGCAAGGCACCTGATGATGATGATTTTGTAGCATTCACGGGTCACAGGCGTTACAAATAAACAGAAGGAAAGAAGAAGAAAATGGCAAAGGAGGCGCAGAAAAAGAAAGGAAGATGAGTGTACCACCAAAGTACGGTATGTTTTCCACCAAAAATGTAAACAAAATCAGAAAACATAACACACACAACTGTCAATGATGATATTAACAATTACAGCATTTCATTATCTCTGAATTTTTTTATTTTTGTTTATAAAAAGCATAAATTGTCTGCAGAACAGAACAGGTTATTGTTGTGATAGCTGGTTCTACGTTAACTTATTTTGATCACTGGCCACTCACAGCTCAACAGGATCAAACACTAGCCAGATGACCATAAAAACATCAAATTTTCATAACCAATCACCACTCATAATCACCACCCACAATGATCACTCACCACTCATAATCACCACCCACAATGATCACTCACCACTCAAATTATCACCCATCATTAACACTCACCTCTCATCACAGGCATTCACTCTATATTACCACTCATCACTTATAATCTTCACTCACTAGCTATCATGACCATTCTACATACACACAATAAAGTCATTAAATGCCACACTTAGGTGGTTTCACCCGTCGCCAAATACTCGTCTGGTTTCCTAAACAAGTTCACTCAATGCCACACATGGCTGTCTGGTGCCCCAAACTTAATTAAATGCCACATATAGCTGTTGAGTCTCCCAAACTTCATTAAATGCCACATGTCATTACTAGTTCCCCCAAACAACATCAAATGCTACTCATGGCTGTCTAGTTCCCCAAACAATTCATCAAATGTTGCTGCCTGGTACCCCGACCAACAAAGCCACTATCCCAAGTTCATGGTCTGCCTACTGAACAGCTCCATGGTAATGCTGCTGAGAAAGAGAGGTATACTGTTGTGCTTCTGGAGGTACATCTCCATAGCATCTTGCACTGTCATGGAAAAGTCTGTCTGAAGCATCTGGATCTCACCCTGGGAATTTTGCTGCAAAAAGCAATCAAGATATTTAAAATGTTAGTCACATTTCAGACACAGCAGAAATGAAATTTTACAACACTTTTGTTTTGTGTGCAAGTTTATTTTAAAATTCTGGCTTATTTCTGTACAGACTGCTTCCTTGACCCTCAAGCAGATAAACTCTATTGACTTCAAAGGAAACATTAGGAAGGTCCTCATAGAATATAGACCGAAAGTCTGTTTCTACTTCTAAACCTAGGTTTTGTTCCTTAACTTGAGTGCTGCGTGCACATCCGTTTTACATTTGATCTGGTTTGTTTGGGTGCAGACAGCTGGGCTCTTGCCTCTGAGGCAGATGTATTCTAACTTTGAAGAAATATAAGGAAGGTGACCAGTGAACTGACCAAAAAATCAGCTTCAATTAGATTTTGTCAGCTGCTGCCTTGAGCAGTGCAAACTGTAACTGGTTCAACAAGCTTTACTATTTGTTGCCTTAAAGAAACATTCTCACACCAGTGGGGTTTTGGATATATGGTGCTACAGCCATGTTTTATAGACCACTCAACACCAGTCAATATCCCGCCAAACCCATTTTCTTCTCAAGACACTTTCTACTACCATGTTATGCCGGATCAACCTGGCAGCCACAGTCAACTTTATAATCCATCTTAATGTGGATTTAAACCCAAGATCTTTAGACCAGTAACAAGCGCCCTGCAACTGCACCACTGCAGCTCCCAAAATGGGGACATGTAAAAAGGTAAGGGAATATGCTTAACACTGCCAAAAAGGGAGTGCACACAAACTCAAGAACCACAACAAGATAGAAAGAGACCAGACATGGGCAACCAAGCATGGCTTTTGTGCCCGAGTTTACAATGATTGCAGAAAAAGAGGAGAAAGAGGAACAAGAATAAGAAGGAAGAGTAGGGGGAGAAGAACAGGAAGATCTAAATGCAGTCACCTGAAAGA